CGTACAGAGTATTTCATTTATTTTTAATGTATTTGATTGAGTTTGATTTACCTATGGATGCAAAGTAGATGAAAGCAATTAAAACTTAAAAGGCTTAATAATTAGTCAAGAAATATTTTTTGACTATTACAAATAATACTTAATATTTAAAAACATCAATTTATTTTGCTTAATTTTATATTTAAATGATATGAGGTTAATTAAGTAATAACGTTTAATATTGTCATTAATTATGTAGTTAGGTATTATGATTCAAATTTGCATACCATTGTTATTTATAATCCTAATAACTGTTTTTTTATTATATAGCATTGATTAAATCTTTATTTTTTCTTCTTCTTCTTCTTCTAGTTATTATAATAATAATAATATCATAATGACTTTTGAGTTAGCAGGCCCCTTCAAATCATTATTTAGGCTATATATAGGACTTCCAAGAGAATAAAAATAACTATGAGAATACAAAACGAAGGGTTTGAAAAGTTGTACCAATTGTTTGAAAGATTTTTGGGAAAACTCATAGCATTCATCAAGTAAAGCTTCTTCAAATCATTATTTAGTCACTCAATCTTCTGCAACAATTTTGAATATTAATTTATATTATATATCTTGCATGCTTATATTATAGAGATTTTTTTTTTTTGGTGTTTTTCTTATACCAAAGCTTTAGAAGATTTTGAAAGGCACCCCCTTATTATAATCATGTTATTGGTTTTTCCATGTTCATGGGAAAGGTGTGCTGTTAGTTTTCTTGGATCAAGAAGCATATGCTCTCATCCTTGGTAGAAGACAGTGCAATGGTTTCTCTACTACCATGAGGATAGAGTGTTTATTAATGGAATCCTAAATATAGGTCTTCTAAGTTTAGTTGAGTATAATCATTTATATTGCAATCATAGCATATATCTATACTACTATTATAAAAGGGGCTTGAGTTTCCTTCCTCCGACAAATCTTGTTCATCCATTCTACTTATTTTTTAATTATCTTGGCCGTCCATTCTATTACAAATATTTAATAAATCAAAAAATTCACATCTATACTATCTCAGTGCATAGCGTTTCACTTTCGAGCGTCCCTTTGGATACCACTCTAATTCAAGCTTATTATTTTATTATCAAAGTAGATTTCTTCTCTTAACTCTTCGGCTTAGTAGATTCCTTTCCCATTTATTACAGTCTCTTCAATTTCTATAACTTCAACAACATTTCTTCTAACCGGCGTCGCCTAGGCCTTTTGCCTTCCAAAATTTCCCTTTTTGCTTGGTATTTGGGTGCGACTCTTCGCTTCTACCGTAAATTTTCTTATTCCCGTCTCTGCCATCTTCTTCGGTAACGTATCTTCGCCAATTGTTTCGACCATTGAGCTCCTACGACTTCTTCTGACTGTTTAACTTCTTGATAAATTCTTCTCACTCCGGGCCTCTTCGCATTTATTTTTTTGGAAGATTTAATTCGTTTATTTATTTCACATCTAGCGCACCACCTCTTCACATTCGACTTCTCGACGTCTTCTTGAAAAATTTAATTCGTTTATTTCACATCTTCCCAATTACTGCATTTTCATATTTGACTTCATCGAAGATGAAGAAAACTGAGCAACTTCAATCCGGTTGGAATATCCATCAAACTTTCTCCATTTGCTCCCTGTTAGAACTCCTTGCAGCTGGAACTCCTCGCTAAAAGCCGTTGGAACTTCCAAAATTTGTTGCGGCATGTTGGGATGAAAGAAGTCGAAATCGAACACTAAAGCTCTCTCTGAAGAATGGCTACGACACCAACTATCCAAGGTCTGTGCTCATCATTTCTTACATGCTTTCTTCAAAATAACTTCTCCCTCTCTCAATCCCTCAAGCTCGGACGAAGCCGCCACCAAGCTTCCTATCACCGCATTAGGGCTGTAGAGCTCGACCATAACACGGTCGTCGCCATCTCCGTCGGCGTTGTCAGCGTTGCCTTCGGCAAAGGAATCCCACTTTTCTATGATACCCGGATCGACAATGCGGCTAAGCGAGAGAATACACAGCCTTGCTTCCCCTGTAATGGATCCAAAGCTAAGCAATGCAGGTTTTGCACATGAAAAGGAACTGTAACTGCAATAGTTGGCGGAGGAGAAAGTGAAGTATCCCAATACATCAACTGTGAAGGTGTTGGAGCTTTAACGTGCACCACATGCCAAGGAAGTGGCATTCAGCCACGTTATCTTGATTGAAGAGAGTTCAAGGACGATGATTGAAATCTATCAACTAAATAAGATATGCGGAGCACAATGAATGACACTATGATAGTTATTTAACATATTTTGACATTATTTGTTGGGTTTGATGTGCCCTATAGCTACTGTGACTACGTGGAATCCCAACTTGCCTTAATACCATTACTCATTCAATTTTGTATAATTTGTATGTATATGTGGTACATCAACTGTTACCAAATCGTGTTAGGGTGAGAATAATATCTATTAATTGTAACCATTGTTTTATGTTAAATGTGTTGAAAATAGGAAATTTAGCTAAAAAATAAAAACAAGGGTTGTCACTAAAACTCTTCGTTGAAATCAGAGAATTAATAAAAGAAGTAATTTTTCTTCATCATGCAAGTTTTACCTTCGATTAATATCTTTGACTATTGGCAGATCCATAGCATTATGGGAGATGCGAAATGGAAGAAGCCAGTAATTTGTTTTAGTTTAAGTTCTGGTTTTCTTCTTTTAAATTCATTTCCCTTCCTAAGAATTTCCAATCTTAGATATTGCGGTTATCATGGATCGCACATGCACCTCGCTGGTTATGTTTTTTTTTTTTCTAGGATAATATTTGATTTAGTGATGAAAAGCTAGGCAGTTGCAATAAATTTTCTGTTTCAATCCTTTTTTTTCGATTTGTTGACAAATCTTGTGCCAGATTTTCCCTATCATCACATGCACCGTTATATATTGGGAGCAACTAATTATGTTAGGGTTCAAAGCTTAACTCTACTTGGTACGAGTTTTTTTATTTTTTACTTCATAAACGTTCTTCATCGTTAATTTATAAATTAGAAAGAATTGACCTTGTCTTTAATTGATTAAGGTTTTTTGTAGATATATATCCTATTAATTGATTAAGGCATCGAAGCTTAACTTATTATAGTTTCATGCTTTTAATTCATGAAATTCTTACATCATTGCCTGTTTGTTCAATCAATGCTTGACATAACTAATCTCTCAATTGTTATATATTATCCAATTACTCTTAAATTTTTTTATTTTGACATCTTTGTGTAAGTAATGATGTCACTCTTATTTATTATTGATTTGTCTCTAACTTTGTAATTCATGTCTAGATATATCACATTTAATCGATTAAGGCATCTGTTAAATAAGTTTAACTGGAGGATGTTGATTGGAAGGACTCACAAGATAGTTCATTTATGAGAAATGGGCTTATCATAATAAGAAATTTCTTTGATGCTTTATTATTTTGTTTATAGTTGCTTCATGTTAATGGAGGTTGATTGCACTTTTTGGTACATTTAGATTCCTCACTTGAGACCAACTAAGTACAAGAGAAGTAGATTAGCAAGGACTCACAAGATAGTTCATTTATGCCTCTCTACTCTTTCAACATCAAATATTAGGTAATAAATTTGTTTATGTTATTTTAATTGATATATTACAACAATCAAGCATCTTTTTATATATGTTTTAACATTTAAGAAATTATTTTTATTATATTATTTTATTCTTGCTCCCTAAACTTTTTATTCCTTGTAGTACTTCAATTTTATTGAAATTTTGCTATGTACTTTAAAAGATCAACAAATTTGTTCAACATCCTTCATACTTATTCTATTTGTTTTTGCTATCAGTTTGATAACTGATCTCCAAGGAAATATTTCTGTCCATATCATTCTTACTCTCTGAGGACAAATGTGTCATACGCTGTTTATCTATTTATGGATGCATTAAGTTATCAACTGAATTGTACACTTCTGAGAACAATTCTATTATTTCCATCACTTCTCAAAATCTTGGTTCTATATATAGGTAGTAAATGCTTAAGTCCAAGGAGAATCTATATATAGTTATTACTATTTTTCATTGTATTTATTCATTGTTGCTTTCCTGATAAGTTTATACTGCTGTAGATAATGCTCTATGTGCGACTTTATTTTTTTAATAACTAATGTAATATTCTAATGGATATTATATCGATGTCAAAAATATCAATCGATTAGGACACCATGCATTACACATTAACACAATTTTTCACTTCATCTAACACACTTCTAATGAGTGTATCTGAAAAATAATATAAGAATATATGCCTATTTATTATGTATAAACCATATGTAAATATACAATTATTACATGTAATATTCATAAAGTATTTAATATCATCATATGGCATATCATAAATTAATTTTAAATTTTATAATATCATTTTCTTAGCTTTTAAAATTTTATTACCGTGCACCATGTGCACGTGCATTTATACTAGTATATATATATAGAGTGACAGTAACACCTATATGTCTATTTGCATTTGCTTGACTAATCAGTGTATAGATCATGTGCTTATTGTAAGTGATTATATTGGAAGAGTTTAAAAAGAAAATTAAGTGATTCTGCACAACTAATTCACCCCTCCCTAACATGGTACCCTTAAACCAACAATTTATATTACATATTGATACTCATGATATCATCAAAAGCGTGAAAATCTTCTCAAGATTTCTCTGGTAGCACGAAAAAAATTGAGATTATCCTCCTAAAACATCCTTCAAATTTCATGAAACTTAAAATATATATATTTTTCATAATTTTTAAACCATATTCCATGAATTTTCAATATAAATGTATGACAGATGACAGAAAAAAAAAATTGAAAGAGCAAACTAAACTGTATATTCATTTACCAAAATAATTTATTATATATTAAATAAATATAACGAGTTCTTTTCAGTTGGAAGGAAATCAAAAAGGTTCATTTCGTGAAAATCAAACTAATTTCTTGACACCCCTAACGAAACCCATCACCAATAAAAAAAAAGCACAGTGAGGCTGGCATACCTCTTGGAAAAGGGTCCTTCCGAAGTAACGGTGATCTTGCTCTTCTCACGCGTAACGTTTACAACATCGCCCAAGGTACCAGCTTTGCCGCCAAGGGAGGCGACCTTGATCCGCTCGAGGAGGAACTTCTCGAGTGAGGCGATGTCCATGATCTTGTCCTCCACTGGCTTCGCACAATCGATGACAAAGGTCGAACCTTTCTTCTTCCCGCCCTTAGCCCCGGCGCTGCTTCCTGTTCGGCTCATCCTTTCTCCTCTTTCTCTCGCGCTTCTCTTGCCGATACGCAGAAACGTTGTGCGCGGAGTTAGGGTTAGGGTTTCGAAGGTCCGAGTGGTTTCAGCTCGATTGGTATTTAAGGGTCGGGGGTGTTGGCATTGACCGCTAGATCTGTACGTTGCCCTTCTCAGCTCCGTTGGATGCCGCATAGTCTACAGAGCAAAATAATGAAAAAGTGCCTCAAATGACAACAATTATTACGTCCTCTAACCGGACTTAGAGCTACGTTCGGCCACCAATAATATATCATCACGTGCTCTTACTCTTTACCGCGCGGCCCGACGACTTAACCCGGAGCGGAACCCGGGAATGTTATGTTCGCGATTTTCTCGGTATTGCTCGGTATTTGCTAGGTATTGCTTTGCAAAAAATGAGAAATATCGCTCTGTGAAGACCGAAGACAAATACCATGCAAATACCGAGTTGTACCGAGTTTTTACAACTCGGTACAACTCAGTATTTTCTCAGGATTTGCTCGATATTGCTAGGTATTTGCTCGGTATTGTTAGAAAAAACTCAGTACAACTCGGTACAACTCGGTATTTGCTCGGTATTGTTAGGTATTTGCTCGGTATTGATTATTGCCGAGCAAAATCGACCAATACCTAGCAATACCGAGCAATTTTGGATCCGTTCCGGGTCGGGTTGTCGGAGTGCGCGGTAAATAATGAAAATGCATGGCGTGATTCTACTGGCGGCCGATCTGGGGAGTGGATGTAGGTCTTGTTTAGACCGAACCACTATAAATCTGGTGTCATTTACTTTACTGTTTTTACTTTTCCGCATTTTATTTTTGGTTTAAAAAACTCTGTGGTTGAAAATGTTTTCTATAAAAGCTTAATAAAAATTTTTATTTCGGTTCAACACATTTTCAAAGAGGGTTTAAATTTTTAAAATACCAATTCACCCCCTCTCTTGGTAGCCTTGGGACATTAACTTAGGTCTAACAAACTATTTACTAGGCTCAACAGATGTCACCCGACATCTTCCTGAAGCACACATGTAGCATGGAGGAGAAGACTACCTCTTAGTTTTTCCCCTAAACAGAGGAGACATTGGGGGACTGACAAAATTCATAGCAAATGGGGTACCTGATTTGAACTAATTGAAGGGGACTTGGACTCAAATGAACAATAAATAAATAACATTGAATTGAACTATGAACTCGAATTGAACAAATGATTTATATCAAATTGGACAAACAGAGGACTCTAATTTAAACTCAGAAGAACAAAATATGGAACTTCATTTAGATTCAATTTGAGCATTAAATAAGTTAAATGCAAACCTGAATAACCAAAACTAAAGACTTAAATTAAACTCAAATCAAAACTTGGCCAAATGTGGATGATTTGAATATGAATTGAACAAGAGTACTTCAGAGGACTCAAACCTAGACTTCACATAAACAATTTGAACCTAAGAAAATGGTAATGAACCACAGAGGAACATGATTGTACTTGGACTCGAGCTGAATATGGACTTGATTTGAATATAATATAAGAGAACTTGAACTTGCTAATATGATAATAGGGAACCTAAAATTGAATGAATCGAACTTGAATGAACAAAGAATTTATCTTGGAAAATATAAGATCAAAATGAAGATGTCAATAATCATGATCACTCAAATACATCCGAATGATTATTAATCAAGTCATATAAAGATGATGATGATTTATGCGCATATCAATAACATAGACAAACATATTTCCCTCTTGCGAATAAAAGAAGTTTATATACTTAATGATGGGCTTATAAGAATGTATCAACATGAATATTCCTATGTACATTATATGTGCTACATTCCATTCTCAAAGACAACAAAGAACTTACCTCCAAACATGGATTTGCAAAATAGTATTCCAAATTCTTGCAAGAAATGGTAGATGCCAATAGACAACAAATAATATATGGATCTATGAGGGATAAATGCCATGGTCGTATTCAAGCAATGATAGTAGGGAAACTACAATTCACAGATAAATAGTGTTATCACCTACGTATGCTGAAAGTCAATATTCAACAACAAGCAGAGAAGATTGGACATGCAATGAACGCGAGAAAGACCTATAGGAAGTATCAGAATACAACCAAGTGTACTCACCATTGCAAGCAATGAAAGTGAGGGGATATTCATGAAAGAAAAATGAAGAATATGTAATGGGTTACAACACACATTACATATTGCATACAATGATCCTATCTATTAACTGTGAAGGTAAACAAATAAACGGTATGATGGAATCTCATAAGTGAGGAAGATTGAAAGGTTTCCTATGGATGACGAATGATTAATAGCATGCTCAATAAAATGCTTAAAAAAGGGATAATGAGAAGCATGTGATGATTTGTTGACCTCATTTTTGTATGAGGTCACTTTAAACCCCTTCTTGAGCTTTGGACCTTGGGTTTCTTTGGACTTTGGATCTTAGGATCTTCCTACTCCCTAGCCCTTAGGACCAATCCAGATCTTAACTTAATTCAAACCCAGAATCCAGGGTTAGAGACTCAGGTCCTAAAACCCTTTCTAGTTGATTTTTCCATCACCTTGAAACCCAGTCAATTGGCATCTGATTCAGGGTCTGTCAATTTCATATTGATGTGGCATGTCTCTAATGCCAACCCTCCAAATTTGAACTCATTTGGTGGACTCTAACACCATAAACTTAATCTAGTTCCAAAGGTTACAAAACCTTCAAATATTTACACCCAATGCCACTAGGCCTTTCACCTAGTGGAATTTGACTTTGGAGCCCCCTCCAAACCCTTTGATCACCTCCAATACCTTGATATTGACTTGTTAAGCAATAGTATACATTTGTCTAGATCCAACTTGACCCAGAACTGACTCAAGGCCAAAATGACCAAAATGCCATTAAAGGGGATTTTTGGACTTTTGGCCTAAACTTAAATTTATTTGACCACCAATCTTTGAAATCTCCCTCAAATGTTTTCAAATAATGTCCGAGACCTTTTGAACCCAATTCCAACCTTGGGTCGACTTGGTTGACCAACTCAACCTATTTTGACCTAAAGGCCCCTTAAGGGTCAAGATGATCATTTTGACCAAAATGACCTCATTTTGCATTGGAATCTCTTCCAACACACTCAAAACATCATTCCAAACTTGTTGAACCTAGTGTTTTCCCTTAAGTCAACCTGGTTGACAAAGTCAACCTAGGTTGACCTAATAACCCATTAATGGCCCTTAATAAGCCTTTTTACCCAATAGACTTTTCAAATGTTAAGATCACACCCATTAGGCTACAAATCATCAAACAAGTTCATTTGACACAACTCCAATCTTTGGGTCAATCGGGTTGACCAAGTCAACCTAGGTTGACCCATTAGTTCTTAAGGGGTCTAAATGTGTCAAATTGACCCATTTGAGCTCTCCAATCCATATCATCTCTTCAAATCTATCTCAAACCAGGACCCAAGTGTCACTTGACACTTGGTCAACTCAACCCAACTTGAGTTGACCAAGTCAACTCCCTATTCTTGGTCAAACCTCTATGGCATTTGCTTTCACCCACTCTAGTCCTGACTTTGACAATTGACCCTTGACCAAGCCATCCCAAATAACTTTTTACCTCCCCCCATGCCACCTCAGCCTCCTTAGACACGTTGACTGGTCAAAACAATCAACTCTAGTCTTCAAATCTTTCCAAGAGGGCATTATCACGTGCTAAGCCATCTTCTCTTAATTTAGGTTGCTGTAGGATCACCTATTTACACCCTAAAGCTCACTTAGAGCTCTTCTAACAAGGCTCAGAGCCTAGTTTAGCTTTAAATGGAAGTGGTCCGGCCCCCCCACTCACTCAAAGTCCATCCAATGAAGCAAGGCCATTCCAACCTTTGGGGCAGCCTTCCAACGGTTTAGGACACGTGTTAGGCATCTAGGGGAGGCCTTTGATGCATCACAACCGTCCAAGCTAGCCCAGGTCATTTGAATAGGGCAAAAAGTTGATTTTGAAGACACTTAATCAAAACACATTCTCTCACTTCCTCTAGCACCCCAGAGCAAACCCCCTGTTTGTTTCAACTCTTCAGGCCTTTCCCTACCTCCCTACTACCAAACCTAAGTGGTTATAAGTCACCGATGGCGAGTTCTCTGGCGAACTAACCACCTACTCCGTCCCAGCCTCGTAGCGGTTGATCCAAGCATTTTCAGGCATGGATTTGTGCTAGGGATCTACACTTGGACAGTCTACAAGCTCAACCATTTGAAGACTTTGAAGATCCAACGGTATAATCCCTCAGAAACTTTAGATCTAGCTCACAATAGATAGGTTTATTTAACTTTGTACCCAGTCTGTTTTAGGCCAAATAAATGTGCCCCCACTGTTTCTGTTCATGTACTTGACTTGAGTTTAAAATTTCAAGCATTTTGGTCCATCCGATCAAAAGAACGAGACAAAAAATGAGTTCTAGGGCATCTTCTTAACCTAGCCCAGGTGTACAAAATTTTGGCCGTTGATCTTATGATCAACGACAGAGATCTCATCGCACCGTGTCTCGTTTCGGCTGTGCAACCCGCGATCTGAAGAGATTTTTGTTCGGTTCGATCAAGACCGTTCGTTCCAATCTGTGGAGATTGATCTCCGCCGTTTGATCTCGCTAAATTGAGGTCAAACTGCGGGACTCAATCCCATCCGTCGGATCGAAACATGGATAATCCAACAGTCACGAAGCCCTGCTGACTCGGATAAGTGAACGCGTCATTGCGGCGCCGCATCCGGCAATGATTGCCAATGATTGTCAAAGAATGATCATTGGCCATTAATGCCCAGTAGTTAACGCGGTTTCAACACGCGGCTCAGATCATGCCACGTCACCCCTCCCATCACTGTGGAACAAATCTGACACTCCGAATGCCGCCGCGTGTCCTCCGTTAGGCTGATGCCATCAACTCCTTTATCTATCTATTTAAATGGATTTTAAAACTTTTTTTAATGTAATAAATTATATTAAATTAAATACTAATCCAAAATTTTAGTATAATATATCAAATTACTTAGAAAATTAAATGCTTTTATTTGGAATTAGTATCAATTAGAAATATTATATATATATATATATATTAAAAAATTTAAATATTAAGTAACTACTATTTTGAATTAATCTATAACTAAAATAATAATAA